CTTTGTTTCTCTCTCTCTGTCTCTCTGACCGCACTTGGGCGTAGAAGCTGTTACGATATTCTGAAAAAATTATAGAGGTCCGAAATAGGGTAGGCCTGGTGGGAGGGGGAGGCGTTTTGTCAAGCAGAGATCTGTGATGTCTTGTGAAGCCATGAAGTGATACCAGTGAAGTTTGTAGAGACTACTAGGTAAGAATGCCTATCACTTCTTGTAGAGCAGTAAGCATGACGATATGAATTAGGAACATGCAAAGTGCCCCACCCCTCCAAGCCGCATCTCTCAGTTATAAAGTTTGCCATTTGAATAGGTTATCTTCACTAGTCGTCGTTTTTCAGTGCCATTATTATGCTCGACCAGTGGAGAGGTATAAAGAGTTGCGAAAAATGCCGTTAATGGAAGCTGTACAGAGCGCATGGAAAGACAGTGCAAAGAAAGAGAAATGCGAGAAATACCACTACAAAACCGACGTATGTGAAGTTGTGAAAGCTGGTGATCAATCAATAATCGACTGATTTTAGGTGATGCACGAGACCATCGTAACGGACTGGAATTTGGTGTGTGATGATTACTTTATGAAAGGACATGCACACTTGTTCTACTCGTTCGGGTATCTGGTCGGTTGTATTGTGGGTGGAATGGCCAGTGACAAGTAAGTAACACTTTGAAAATATTTGGGCCCGAATAGGTCCTTATTGGGTCCGGTTCGATGTTGAAGAATCGGCTACACCTTGGGAGCACGTATCCAACTCTGAGGATTGTCATCCAAACGAGTAAATGGTTGATTTTAAAATGGAAATCTGTTTTTTAAGCTTCGGTCGTAAACCTACGGTAATTGGATTTGGAATACTGTCGTCCATGTTTGGTGTTTTCCTACCGTACACCACCTATTATCCGATGTTCCTGTTCATCCGATTCTGTAGTGCTATCTGTAACGAAGCAGCTGATCTTGCCGCCTACACGCTCTGTATGGAGATTACGGGTAGGAGATATCCTATAACTATTCATTATTTATCAATACCAATTAGGATGCGAAACTTGGGGCACAGTGTCTGGAAGGGGCAGTCGGCAGCCAAACCGCGCCGCCCTTTTCGTTTCCGTCTGCGTCCTCCAATTGAGATAGCGTTTAGCGATCTTCTGCAAGACATAAGAGAGCGCAGACGGATTTAGAAAATCGTGACGTCTACTGGCTGCCCCATTCCTTTATAAAAGCTTTCCAACAGTGCGAAATTATTAATTTTGAGCTGAATTTATTAAGGTACAAGATATCGAGCGATGGTTGGCAGTATGCTACAAGTACCATGGGCAATGGGTTACGCCCTTCTGGCACTTATAGCCTACCTTGCAAAAAGTTGGAAAACCGTACAGGTGAGATTTTCCCGCACACACGTCTCTGCCTCTCTGTTGTCTGGACTCTCACCGCTATCGCAGCCACGCCTCTTGCTGCCATCAGATATTGGCCGCATCTACTCTCTCAAAAAGGCTAGAAAATTACGAAAAGCTTGCATTGTAAATGGAACTAAAGGGTTTTTGGCAGTCATGAAATTTGAGAGGGTAGATTATTAGCTGTATGTCGAATAAGTTGAGCCATTGAAGCCGCATCCAACTTATTGAATTGTTCAGGTGATCGCTGCTGGTTTACATTTTGGCGCAGTACTTCTGATCTGTTCACTACCAGAATCGCCACGATGGTTGATGGTTAAGGAACGAGTGAACGAAGCCGAGGAAGTGATTCGGAAGGCTTGTCGGTAAGCTCACGGAGTCTTTCCAAGATAGCAAAGCGTGGAATTGTTACGGTCTTGCTCGCCGCGATTGAGGGGGCGTGCCAGTGGGCTGTGGTTTATCACACCGCCAGCTCGTTCTCACCAGCTGTTTAGGCGGATAAGTGGAAATAATTCGTGGGGAACCACTGATACGAATGACGTGATAGTCTTGTCGCTTACCGAAGGGAAAAGGGTTGGAACCCATCCTCTTGAAGCGCTCCATCGTCCGCAGTAAACAAGAATATATGTGTTTTTGATACTAATGTATTTTATGACCTTTACTGGTGTGGCTAAAATAGTATTTTACAGGACGCCACCGTTTCCTTTCAACCTTTGCCGAATCAACAAAGGCTCACTACCATCCGATCTCGAGTTGGTGTGTCATCGGGAGAAACGGCTGAATACAAAGGTATTCTTATTTCTCGATTCTTCCTTGAATGAATTCCTTCCAGTTTGATTTTATTATGTTTCCATTTATTTTATATATTCCTGTTTTCTCTATATTCCTATTTTTTATATATTATATTTTCCTAAAAGACACTATAGCCAAACCGATTTCCGTTTCAGGGCAAGGTTGGCATGTTGGATCTATTCAAAACACCAGAACTACGCTTTCGAACCATCACCATTTGCATTGTGTTCATGGCGACAGCCCTTGTTTATTATGGTTTAGTCATTGGTGGGTTTCATTTGTGCTTCGGTGATTCACGTAATGGTTTCTTCAATTGCCGCTATTCACCATGACAAATTTGTCCAGTATGTGGCAACAATCACGTCTAGAAGTGTTACCAGCCCTTTTTGTGAAAGATATGGGGGTGTTTTTCAGAAGAATAGTTCAGACTGATCGTGGAACTTGAACAGTCAACAACTGTGTGTTTCTCACTCACTGTTACAATCCCAGTAGAGAGGGAACAGCAAAGAAGAACACATAATGGTTGACTGTCTCCGCCACACGATCGGTGTAAACTGTGCCTAAAATGGAGACTGTAGGCTTAGCTTACAACTGGAGTGTCTAAAATGTACTCTGCGTTTGGTAATAAATATACAGTCCATGTCTGAAGCAAAAAGGGGTGTTCTCAAGCGCATAAGTACAGTCCTCATCATTGCGGACCGGTGGGGCGTGTCAGCCAGAAGGAGTGCGCACACTGTTGAAGCCGTTCTCAGCCTTTTTTGTTGCAACGCGTATGCGACAAAAAGTGGTAGAAAACGAGTAATACGAAGGATATAATACAGTAATGCACTTGCCCGCTTCAAAACTGGGTGCAGAACGACTTTTGCCAAACCGCACCAAACGCAGCCGCACTGCCACGCCCCACCGGTCCGCAATGATGAGGACTGTATATCCCTGAGACGCGGTGGGCGTAGCGGCGCATTTCATGTTTAACATGGATGGGTAAGTCGTGGCGAAACAGCTGTGGTTCTATATTTTGCTCGACAAAGACATGATTTCAATTGTCAAACGTTGAAAATAACCCACCAGGAGCGCAGACGCCGTCTTGCTTACTAATTACAGAGCCACGCCTAGGCCATCTCAGTTGTTTGGGGCACAGTTGCAAGCGCGCGACGGGTGTGAGGGTTCAGACGAAAAAGAGGCAGAGACATAGATATAAGGGAGGAGGGTCTACACGGGATTAGACAACCGTTGACAGGACGCCCCTCTGATATGGACCCTAAAGTGCATGTGGGATGATCTCAGCAGAGACGAAAATTCTTTCACCACGTTCGGCTGTGGGACTGGATGGTGACAGCACAGTAACACACCAACGCGCTGCAACCGCTCGCGTCTTACTCCGATTTTCCCAGTTGTGCCATAGGGGCCATACATTCGTGATATTGGTTATTCATGGTGAATAAACCTAGCATTTTTTTCTCAGTGAGAATGCACATTCCGAAGCGGAAAAATTAGAGAGCGCGGTGTAAGATAATGAATAGAGAGGTCTGTTCCCTTCTGAGCAATACTGGAAGTTTTCAGCACTGTCCGATCAATCAGCACCCGGCCGAGTTCTATTCACGGGTAACTTTTTCTTGAACAACGCCGTCGCAGGTGCTATTGAAATACCGACGCTCTTCTGTTGTGTATGGTTGATGAAGTTCGGACGAAAGAAGTGAGTTACAATCAATTTATCGATCGATTATTGATCAATCAGCAACTGTTTTTTCTATAGGGCTCAGATGTTGACGCCTAGGTGCTCGTGGGAATGCCTCATCATTGTGGCGATGGTCGCGGTGATCAGTGAGAATTTTTATGTTCGCGCTCTCATTTATGATGATCGGGAAGATTTGTATTCAGGTGGGATAAATCACTATTGATTACTATTGATTGAATCAAAGTCTCGGATCAATTTTAGGGTGCCTTCAATATTCTTGTACATCTTCACTTCGACTTTTATCCGCTATCATACGCATTCAGCCGTAGGAATGACATCCATGGTGAGTAGTGGTATTGTTTTGTTGAACTTCTAGGTGAGGGTAGTGTAGTGGCTAAGACGCTCGTTTATGTGCGCGTGGTGGCTGGTTCTATCTTGGCTACTCTGTCGAGGGTCGTACAGTAGTTGCCTGGATACGGAGTGGACCGGGAGACGACCAAGAGAATCGTAATTCGCCGCCACGGCGATGGGCGCGGCGTTTTCTTAACTCGTGTTAACCTATCGATTGAGCACCGGACTTCATGTAGACCCCCCATCGTAGACATTTTGACTAATTTTTTAGTCGCGTTTCGCCATCTACCACTGGGAACCATCGTTATTTGCGGGCGCGACGTCGCACGCGACGCCCACCAGCGCGGTGAATTACGAGTCACTTGTCACATACCCGAGTCGCTCGATATGATATCCAATTTCAGGTGGCTCGATTTGGTTCCGGTGTATCATCATACATTGCGTTGTTGTCGATTAATTCGTTACCAATAACACCGATGATCATCTTCGCGATTTTCTCGTTGTTCGCCGGCATGCTCGTCAGTGTACTTCCGGAGACTAGTGAGAAACCGCTGCCAGAAACGCTAGACGTGAGCTTTCATGACTTATTCTGGAACAGCGTTCATACTTCGCGACATTCGCGACCGTGCGACTCAAGGGGTCCTGTGATTGGAGGTGCGTGAAAACGATTCTGAGCCCAACCTTCATGAGCCAACGAAATCAACGACAATCACGCCCACCGCCAATCACAGAATCCCTTGAGTCGCGCGACTGAGTGAACGAAATTCATCTCTTGGCTTTTGGCTTCCACAGAAATTAAGGATTTGATTGGAAAGTTATCATCTCCCATTCTAGGATGCTGTAACCTTCCTTCGAACAGAGCAAAAAGCCTGTTACGGGTGGGGATTGTCTGGATTGGATACTCGTAGCATTTCTCTGCACGAACAATCAGTAACAGCTGTCGACGATAATGCCACAATCATTCCAGAGAAAGAAGAGAATCCTGTGGAAAGCGTTCAAGGGTTGGTTTCTAATTTGATCTATTGACTGGTCGGGACCGCTACCCC